CTTTTCTCAAAGAAATGAGTTACAACCTAAACAACATAAAAATAACGACGTAGATAAATAATGCCAACATTTAATGTAGATCATTTTTCAGTTGACAAAGCCGACTTTTTAAATAGTTTTTTTGACAAACATCACCAAAAGTTGAATGAATAGCAGTTTTGATCATGACAGGTGCTTTTTAGATATAGAAAAACCCTAAAAAGAGTAGAGGTTTTCTGACCATTGCAGTAATATCTAATTAAAAAATAAAATAAGTCTATTTTGCCATGTTTTTTAATAGGTTTTCAAACCCTAGTTAAAAAACTCATCTCCCAACATAATCTTTTTTATCCTTGTTTTTCAATTGTCTCTATTGTTTTCGCTTTTACTTATCTTCTCTTAATTTTCTTTAACGCCAGTTGTTTAAATATTGACATAGAGAACATCACCAGAGAAATGGTATCTTAAAGAACATACAAAACCGACTGATCTGTTCAGAACGAATCAATATAACCTTACTTAGGGCTACAGCTAAGCGCCTCTCTCATTAACTTTCCATTTAGAGCTCACTGCCTGATTCATCCGGTAACGCCAAACCGATTGTACTCAAAAACAAAATTGAAAGCAAGCAAAATTGAATCATCAGCCCTTTTATAAGTTTCTTTAATCTTTTCTTCTCTGTCTATAGCTTTTTATCAAATTATTCGCCTTTATAAGGTACTGTCGTGGGTTTTAAATTTATTCCGATTTTTTTTGCTTCGATTATTTACTCTAATTCATTTGCCCATCTGCACATTTAACACAGCAACTAATTTCAAGTTAATCTATCTAACCCCTACATTGATATGACAGCACAATATAACCGCAAAGAACTGAATGTTTTTACCGTTCATCTTCAGTCCTTTTGAATATACACCAATTCAAATCGTGATCGCTGAGAATTCTCCGCGCTACGCTAGTAATTTTAAAAAGGAATTATGAACTGCTGTTTAGCTTTCTTTAGCCAAGTTCGTTTGGCTCAACGAACGGGAATAACAGGATGGAATACATTTTATATATATATTTTTAATGTATTGTCTTTTATGTTGAATAGGTCAGGTACACCTGCCTGTCCGCCTGACAGGGCTGGCTGATCTTGGAAAGAAAACGTCAAATAAATATGTAATGAGACTCTTGTTTTATTGCTCAGTTTCACGTCATCAAATCTACCCAGCTTGTCTTTGATTCCCTTTCATATATCTCGTCCCCGCTCCCCCCCCCCCAGGTATTCAGCAAGTTATATTAAGTGGCTTCATCATAAAAAAAAACTTATTACCGGCTCACTAAGTCAACAGGTGTGTAGTACAGGGGACACTGGATCGAAAAATTTGTGTTGGAGCTCGAGGTCGTTGAGTTATATTCTCTTGCAAACAAAGTCATTATAACAGTGCCTCTCTCCATCTAGAAGCATAAGCAAACTCTTACAGAGCCTGAGGACAAGCTTAGGTGGGTATCCTTACAATGGACTGGTATTCCATCAGGGGAGGGATACAGGGTGGCAAAATTTCCCAGTGCTTTATTTTAATGAAAACGGCACAAGGGACCATCAGGCTCGTAGGACATAAGATATCTTATATTTATGACAGTGTCGGGCTCTGTTTCCATATTGCTGCTTGCACTGCTCGTCCACAGTGAATGCAACTCCGGGCAGCTCTGTTGGCAGCTCCAGTGGTTTCTCTTTGGCGTGATTTCTCAAACACTTGCTGGCCTTGGAACTAATGGAGAAAGGAAACAAGGCTTAACTAAGAATTGGCATAAATGCGATGTCAAGTTACAAATTAGTTCTACAATGATTTTTTTTTCAACAATGGCCGCTGTTGGGTTTTGTCTTTCAAAACTTTTTACGCTTTTTCCTTTTCCAGTCAAGCTTTGGATCCCTGTTCAGCATTTACAAAAACGTCTTCTTTAAAAGAATAAATTATAACTATAGATGTAAATTCTGCAACGCTCGAGTTCTTACTTAAGAAAAGACTTGATGTAAGCTTTACTGCACCATGACCACTTCATGGTTCCACGTCGATTCCTTGCCAGCCACCGCGATGACATAAGGTGAGGTGTTAATCCCGCGGAGTCTGGGCACGTGTTTCCGTCTCCATCATGATATGCACCCAGACTATTTTGAGATCCAAAACGCTATGATGAGTTCTGGGGATAGATAGAGCTTCCGCACATGTGCCAATAGACATATGTAAGTAAGACAAAGTTATCCAACCTCTAATTTAAAAGCTGAATGTCACATCGCATGGACTTATCCAAAACAGATGTTATGTTTCCGAAGCCCTCAAGCTTGATATTAATGCCACAGTTTAAGTAAATTAATCTAGCTGCTATCAATTGACTGTCTAATTTCCATTCTTTTGCTTTACCTCCTCCACAGTGCACGTTACACTTTCCCCAGCCTCCATGCACCCATCCATACGAGGCGTCCAACAGTAAACGGTGTTTCTTTGCGTCGTCCTTGTCCCTATTGCTATCCTGGAGGGGTACTGCATATCGATACTCCACTCCAAGGTTAAATCCATAATACAAAACCTGACAAACACCAAACGTTTTGGCTCGTTCTGTATGAATTTCAGAGCATTTACTGTTTCTTATAAAAGAAACAGTTGGAAATTTTTGGAGAAAAAAGAATTATGCAAGAGGCATGAAAGCTAACAAACTGAATCGCCCTTAATATTTTCATTTTATGTTATTTTTAAGTCACACGTGTTTTTTGAGATTCCGGAAGGATCTTACAAGATATGCTGGGACATTTGTCAACGGACAATAGCTGTTAAAAGTTGCAAACAGTTTCTCCTAAGGAAAGGCTTTAGGAAAACTGCGAGAGGAGCATTGTATTCATGATCCTTCAAACATTTGTACACTTGGAACTAAAACTTTACTGGCTAGTGAATTTCTTAGTTTAGCTAGAGCACATTTTGTCATGAGATGCGTTTAAACTAATCGCGTGTGAACCAAAACACTCAGTGGATTATAAGTAACATTATTCCCAGTAGAACAGATACCTTGAGTCTGAACATATTTTTTCTAGGATTCTCTTTGGAACATTGTCAGTATGGAACACCCAGTCTCTAATATTCCTCATATTTTGTATACTCAAAATAGCTAGACAAAAGCACTGTTTTTTTGTTCAGTTAAAACACCATTAAAACAGTGCGTACTTATTCCTCACCATGATATGTAAAGGGGCATTTGTAGGCCCACGAGCCACGATCTTTTCCAAAGTTCCTTTGCGCATGTACCGAAATATCGTTCCATCTGCGTTGACGTCACCGGGAAGTTGAATTCTCCAGTTACCGTTGATGTAATAAGTTCCAGCGTCTGCCCTCAGAGCTATATGAATTAAAACTGAAGTTATTTTCGGTGACCATATAAAAATAATCTTTCTGAGGACTGCCTTCATTAATGAACATAGTTCGTATTTTTGTTCATTGTTCTTGAACATGTCAGGGTTGATCCTTAAAGATACATCTCAGTGGGTCTGCTGATCAAACCTCACCTAGAAAACTTGTACACGGTTTTGATTCGGTAATGGTTATACTTCTCGCTCCTTCGGGAATAACAGCAGCTTCCACATAACCTGAACAATAAAACGTAAGTGTGATCTTACGAAGAAGTATAGTGCACGTTAACTTAATATTTTGTCTTTACGNGTTATCATTTGTGTTGATATGTTGAAGGATGCATACCTAGTTAACAATACCGCCCCGTCATATTTTGGGTTTTCCTTGAATGTGTCTTTCGTTATCCACTGCTGCCACTTGCAGAAACTTTCCAGCGTCCTGTCGCCATGATGGGTGATTGACAGGCCTTTCTATCGAGTAGAAAGGCAAAAGATAATAATTAGAGTTTAAAAGCAAGCCTGAATTTAAGAGATTGCGAAATGTTCTTCATAAAAGAGAGAGAGGAAAAAAGGGTAAAAAAAGGATAAACACAGCATCACATCAGAAATGAAAACAACCCAACCTCTCCACAACGGCCACGTTGGCGACAGAGGAGACAGTCTTTTTCGGAATGGTAGAACCTTTTTACTCACAAAAACATACGTGGTGTAGTATATCAATACGAAACACAATCAAATATAATGTATCTTTATGAGACACAAAAACTGATGTACGTTCAGAAAAAAGACCCCTAAGCACATCAGAAATTTTTGTTTCTCTCTAGTGAATTAGTGCGTGAAGGACAGTCTGAAAAAGTATGCTTCACCACTCCTCAGTCTTTTATCATTCGACGTGACAGAATGCATATACGTCGGAGATTCCTTTAATAGCCGTTGACATTGTTAAGGGTTCGTCGAGTGGTCATTTTAGAGAGGCTAAAATGACAGTGAATACAATTACCCTCGGCGAGACGAAAAAAGTCGAAGTTTTGAAGCAGTGGCCGTCATTGAAGGTTCGACTGTAACTGTGTTGTATTGTTGCACGTTCTTACTTACAGGCATATTGTACAGAAGCATAAGCTTGGACACTTCGATATTTATCTTCGTCCCAATACTTGGGTCTCGGTACAGGTCGGCCACCTTACAAAAAAAAATTAAATTATTTTGAGCTTATCATTGGACGCGTCAATTTCAAAGCCACGACTGCATAAAGGAACTCAACGCCTTCAGTGTCATCCGCATTCATCTTTTATAATTAAGAAGATAGAAGAAAATCTTTTCCTGGCAGATTTGGAAACAAACGTACGTTGGTTAGTCAAAACTATGAAAACTACGAATTTCTAAAATTTCTTCCATTTAGAATTTGCAAAATATCTTATTAAACAAACTTGCTCGGTCAATTAGGCAAGATGTGGCCCTCGCTTTTTTTTTGTTTTGTTTTGTTTTGTTTTAGTGTTTTCGTTTTGGTGTTTTTGCTTTTTTTTTCTCAAGTTTTAAAGGACCTCAGCTTCGTCTTGATCCGTAGGAGCCGAGAGAAAAGAAAGGGGTCCATTAATAATAATAATCATCATAATCATAATAATAATAAAACTGACTGACTAATAACCAATGAACAAGCTTGCCCAATGGCGTATATATCTATCTCACCATATTCATGACGGTTAGAACATATTCCTCCAAGGACTGGTTGCCATGGAAACTTATCATTTCCCTTTCAACAACCACCAAGAGCTGGACTGTGACCTCATCATCCACTGAACGACGCT